ATGAGGTATCGCCTGTTCTTGAGATGCTTTTACCTGAAGTCATTGATTTAGCATGATATCAAGTTGGACTGAAATCTGCAGACACTTGCCCAGTTTCTGTTTTCTCCTGATGAGCTCTTTGGTTGCACTGACTGGATGCTTTGGGTCATTGTCATGCTGCATGGTGCAGCACTGTCCATTAAGTATGGAAGCATTTTCTGCTGCATTAAATACCATGTTTCTGTGAACATCGGACATCACTCTGCTGCTGCCATCATTAGCTACATCCTCAATAACAAGTGACCCAGTCTGAGACATTCCTGCATCCCCAGGCCATGACATTCCCTCCACCAGGCTTCAGCATGCGCACAGAGGACAGAGATGACAGGTTCAAGTGTGGAGAAAGAAAGGAGCTGCAGATGCTCCAGTGAACAGCACCTCCTGTGAGAGTCATGGCCTGGCCTGGGGAGATCATGAGGAGACTCCTTCACCTGTCTGTCTCCATCAGCACTAGTGTACTGGGTCACTGAAGCTCAAACCCGAAGGCTGTGGACTCAGAGCTGAGAGCTCCAGCAACACCTCAATGTCCTCTGAGCTCAGATAGAGATCACATGTACAGCAGTAGGATTAGAGGTGGTGTTAGTCAGGGACCATACATGTCATCTACATCTCAGATCAGAGGACACATCAAATATTCAGGTGCTGTAGCTTTGAGTCAGTTTATAATGCAACCAAGGAGGTCATCAGGAGAATAACTGTAGAAACACCTTAAATTGTTGGGTCTAATGTCTGGATTTCAACCCTATTGACGGACGGAAAAAATTAAAGCGTGATCACCTGAAGATAAAATAAGAACTTGGTGGCAACAGCAAAGCATCTCAGATGATTACAGAGGGCAGTGAGCTCAATGGGTCTCAGACCTCATGCAGTTACTGTCTCAGAGGGATATACAAGCACATCCTCTTCCACACTCTGAAATGTACATAAAGTGAATGTGTCCCAGTATCTTAAAAAATGCAGAGATCAACACAAATGATTTGTATTTTAATATGATCAAATGTATGCAGACAATTACCACAGATTAAAACCAGGATTATTCATATTTCTGATCACAAGTACTAATTGCTTGACTGTAAAGTTGACTCATTGCAGTACTGATGGAGGACACTGTACCTTTCCAACAAAAACCTGCATTTTCAAGTGTCCCACAGTATCAATACACCTTGACAGGAGGGGCTGACTGACAGGGCCAGTGACATGAATTAATGTGC